ATTTGTACGCCTCTAGGAACTTTAGCATACCACATTGGCCCTGTCCATTTAAAGTGCCTCCCTGCTACTAGTTCTCCGTCTTTATCTTTCTCCTGAGGTAGAAACGATATATGACAATAGCTTTTAAAATCCACTGTTTTTTTATTAATCTGACTTCCAATTTACATAACTTTTTTAGGTCTCTTCTCTTTTGTTCTATTTCTATTCTCTACTCCTTGGCTTTCTCTATTTCATTCAGGTATCATAGTTTTATTCTTGTTTCTGACAGTGCTTTGATGTATCTATTAATTTTGTCTCTTTTTTCTGTTGCTCCTTTCTTGTCTTCCGCTTTCTCATTTTCTTCTATTTCTTTTGCTGTCTCTATTGCCTTGCTTAATCTTCTAAATGCTATAAACTGTACTGTTTTTATTTTTTTGCTTAACTCCTGCACTTCTGTTTTAAGAGTTTTCTTTGGGATAACTATCTCTGCTGTCTGTTTCCACCGTTTCTTTCGTATGTGCTATTTATTGCTTGCTTCTAATATTGTTCCTTCAATTTTCATGATCTCTTGTTGATCTTTCTTTTTCCTTATACTCTCTATTTCTTCCCTCCACTTTTTCCATTTCACGCATTTATTTTCTTATAGTCGTATACTTGTCTTTCTCTTGTTGTTCTTATTATTATTATTCCCTTCATTATTGTGTATAGGTCTATTTCTGTTTTTACTTCCTTATGGTCTGTGTTAAGTGTCTTATGTCCTTTATATTCGCACCTTTGTATAGTTCTTTTATGTCTTCTGAAATCCACATCATGTCTATTCTGCTTTTTATATTGTTACCCCAGGTATATTCTCTTGTAGCTTTGTTATGTTATCTATATGTGTCGTATAACTCGAATTCCTTTAGCATTTTAATCAATTCCTTTTTCTCTTTTGGCTCCTTTTTTCCTGTTCTATCCATCTCATCTTTGATTGTTGTATTCATATCTCCCATGACTATTGTACCTACAAATAATCTCTTTCTCCATTCTCTTAGGATTTTTTTTGTTTCTATTAGCATCTCTTTTCTTTCCTGACCTACTTGCGATGGCACATATACTTGTATTACCCCTATATATCTTCTTTTTTTGAATATTAACTCTACAGCCAGAATCCTTCCTTGCCATCTTATTATCTTTCCGATATGTTTCATCTAGTCCCTTTTCACAATTAGACCCACTCCCCCTAAATGTTTTTTTGTGTGTATATAACAGTATTAATAGCAAAGTGGGTGACACTAAGTGGATCACACAAGTGGAACAAACAAGCCAATAGAAGGAGCAAAGCGACTGGAATACTATGTCTCTCTCCATCTTTCTCTAGGATATCTAGGACTTGAAATATTAAGGAAATTATATTTCTATAAGATATCCGGATAAGTATCACACCCTGTGATGACTAGGACCCGAGTTAAATAAGTAAAGGTCATTGGTATCTGGTAAAATACCAATAGGATTTATGATGTTTATCTTATTTGACTAATATGGGTTATAGAACAAGTTTCATATGTATTTCATTTATTTTCTATTTTTATCTTTTCTTTTCTTTTTTTTTTTTTGATAAACATCAGTTCTTTATTATACATATATACTAAGATATAACTTTGAAAAAGAACCTACATCTCTCATAATACATGAGTTAAATGCTAGTTTACCAAAATATCTATCTAAACTATATTAGAAAAGAAAATTTAAAACTAATATACTGTTTAGATAGTTGCACGACAGACCATGCAATTTTAGTGAAAAATGAAAAAAGAAATAAGGAAAAAAAGAAATTAGACACGTGCTAATATTAAGTAAACAACTTTTCACATCACAACTTCAGCTCACACAGCTATGGGAACAGAAGGGGGCTGACGTGGGTATATACTTCCTAGTAAATGCTCTGAAACTGTAATCTTTGGTTGACACAAACTACCAAATCTAGGGGCTTCAAAAGCCAAGTGGGACGTGACTCCAAAATCTCCTAGTAGATACTCCAAAGGATTCGGTTGGCTTAAGCTGCCAAATCTAGGGGCAAAAACTGCCAAGCAGGACACAACTCCTATATACTCAGTAAGCTGTCAGCACTGCCATGTTTAACGCATATATGTTAGTGTCCATATCATTGTTCTCTTCAAGGTTATTTATTTGGTATTAACACGTGATAGGCTGTTGGTGATGATATTGTTGTTGTTGTTATTGTTGATGTCATTGTGGTGATCAATGGTGCAATTTTGGTGAGTTGTGATTGGTTGAAATATAATGTTGATTTTTTGATAGGGGTAAGCTGATTTCAGTTTTTGTTATAAAAAAAAGAAACCAAGGTGCTTCTGTATATATGAGCGAAAAGATATCAAACCAAAGGTCTTTCTCTATGCAACCTTCATCCACAAGATGCCCAGTCTTGAGTAATTCGACCAAGAGTCCCATCTTTATGCAGCTTGAGTCTTTACAACCAAACTTTTAAAATTGGCTTATATGTAACAGATCTTTAGGATATGTAAGGCTTGTTGTATCGGTATTAGCAGAGGTAACTCTTTGTCTTGAAGAAGTGGAGCTAGTCTTTCATCCAATAAATCTGGGATTTGACCTTTCGCCCATAACACCCGGCTCTACTCAGCCTAAACCTCTTAGACTATCGCGAAAGGGGACAACCAGTCGGCTTCTTTAGAAGAGAATTTTTATCCTCGATAGTGGTAAAAGAAGGGAAAAAGTTTCTTTTCAGAGGAAAGGATAACTTGACAAGGCCCCAAACTTGTCTCGTTAAAGTTTCCTAAAAAGGAAAGTTTTTCAAAAATTTGAGGGAAACGGGAAAGAGTTTTTTTTTTTTCTTCTTTTTATTTTCTTTTATGTTTCATTTAATTAATTATGTTCAAAAAACCAATAAAATTATATGTATATTTTTAATTATGTAATTTTATTATATTTATTTATGTTAGAAAAACATGTATTTAAAGGAGTTCTTTTTCCTTTGGGAAATAACAGAGTTGTCTGGTTTTTTCTTATATTTAATAAAGTTTTTCTTTATTAATTACAAATAATGCCTTGTTTATGATTTTTTTAACATGAAATATTATATGTTGTAATATAGAATGTTACAGTGTGCCCAAAACGTCTTATATTTGTTGTTTTTCATTGTCTTTTTGCTTGTTGTTTTCTTTAATTTAGTGTCTGATATTCCTATTATAGATATATCGTCCTTATGATAGTAATGTTGCAATTGCTATTTTTTAAACTCTTCATTTAGTTCATTTATATTTATTGTCGCAATTTTGAAGCTTTCCATGTTCATTCTTTTTTCCTTATATATATTAGTATTGTTTTTGTTATTTTTGTTATTTTCTTGTTGTACTGTTATATTTTTGTGATTGTTATGGTTAAAGATGAATCCCTAAATTAAAGGCGAAAATATAATTCAAATGTCTCTTACTATTAAAAAAGTTTTTTTTTAAATATAAGATAAAAAAAAAACTACCTATAAAGGTTTTTTGCAATTTAGGCCACTTGATTCAAGTGTTTTTTAAATTATGTCCCTATTAAAGTAATAAATAAATAATTATGTCCCTTCAAAAGGAACATAATTGATTTGTGAAATTTTATATGCTAAATAGTTTAGGGACCCATCCTTAGTTGTGGTATAGTTTCTTCCCTATTGTCCTTGTGGTTGTTGTTTCCTTTTTACGACTGCTGCTTGACTATTTTTCAACAGTTCTGATAGCATTCTTCCCATGTGTTCCATCTGTTTTTCTATTTTGCTCTGTCTTTCTGCCACTTCTTTGTTGATTACTTTGTATGTTGTTAAAGGAATTTCTTCCTCCTCAGTATTCATTTTTTTTGTGTCTTGATATTGTGATCATTGTTCCCCCAATCTTTCTTTTATGTATTCTACTTCTTTTTGTTCCTCCTCTGGTGCCATCCACTAGTCCCATAAAGTATTAATTTTCTCTTCTATACTTCTGACTTTGTCTTCTAGATTGCTTAATCTCTTCCGGATTCCTTTTTGTTCCCTGCCTTCTTTATTAATCATTGATCTGGATCTGCTTTTCTTCCTCATTATTTCTGCAAAGGAAATAGGTGCTTTTCTTTCTGGCCCCTTCCTGAATCTCAACTGGATTGATACAAATTTTGCCTACACGATGAATTTGTTTCTTTGAATCCTTACCTCCTTACATTAGAAGGTGATATGTTCACTCTGTTCACATTTGTAATAGAGTTTTTCATGCTGGTCCACAAAGCTAATTGTTGTTTTGTCCAATTTGAAGATTTGTTTTTCTGCTGTTTTTAGCTAGTCCTCTGTTTCAAATACTATATATGCGAATCTCTCCCTGAAATATCTGCTTGTTTTTGGAATATACAGGGTTTTCTTCCATTTCTCTTGCTATTTCCTCTAGGTTATATGCTGTGGTGCCTGCAGGCAATCCTGCTAATTTAAGCACATATTTGGATTTTCTTGCAGTTCCACTTTTTTTCCATATTTTGGGAGTATTCTCGAATACTCTTTCTCAAATGGAATTGACCACATTTCGGCCAATAGTTGTGCATTTTTTTCTTCTTTGAAGGTCACGGTTGCGGTTTGCCATATTTTTACAAGTTTGATTATCACTGTTTGGATATCTCCAAATTTTCTTAGTGTTGTTTTAACTGCCTCCTCACTTTCTAAAAGAAGAATATCTCTGACTATCACTGTCAATCTCTCTTCCAATTGGTGTTCCCTTTGTTCCGCCGGTGTTAGATGTTCTCTATTTTCGTCCGTGCCAAAGTTGATCTCACATGCCTCCTGCATGTCAATGAAATTTCCAAAATTGGTAATTATTGCCTTCTTTTTTTTCATCGCATCTCTTCCCACTCTCACCTCCAAAAAAGAATCAAAGGCAATACATGCTTCCTCTATCATCTCTAAAGCTTCTACTGATTCTATATCTGCCGCAAGCTCCATTAAACATGTGTGTCTTGGTTTTCTTTCCACTTCTCTTGGCTGTTCCTCGATTTTTTCCTCTTTTACTTTTTTTTCATATGCTTCCTTCTCCCTTGTTTTAATATCGGAGCCATTCACATTCTTGCTGTTCTTTTCTGTTTCTGTGGCTTCCTCTTCAATTTCCATTTCCTGTTCTTCTGTTATGTCTTGTTCTTCCTCTCTTGCCTTGTTTTCCTCTTCTTTTATTTCTTTGTTTTTTCCTTTTCCTGTGTCCACTTGTTGCTCGTACTGGTATCTTTTTTCTTTTTTCCTTATTCAAGCTTTTTGGTCTTTCTGATCCTTTCTTGGCAATAATAGTAGCTACTTCTTTTGCTTCTCTCACTGCATTTATTGTTTTCTTCTTTGTATCTCTTCCTCTTCCTGCACTTGTTGTTACCACTTGCCTGATTCCCATATTTCTTTTTCACTTTCTTGCTGCTTTTTCCAATTTCCTAAAAAGGCAATTTTTACTGTGTGGAAAAGAGTTATTTTAAATATAAATTATAAAAATAATATATTATTTATTTTATTAAGTAATATTAAGATTTATATATTTAATAAATCAATAGTATAGTATAGAAATTACAAGGATTTGGTTTAATTAATTCTAACTAAAACCAAAACTGATCTGATTTATTTTTTTTAAATCAATTTAATTTTTGTAAATCGATCTAATTCAAAAATTAATTACGTAGTTTAATTTTTTATAAACCAATCCAAACCAAATTGATTTATATAAATATGGGTAGTTATTTTTGAAGGCGACAAAAATGCTAGATATGATTTTTTCAGATCCGACTTTTAAACGATACATATATAGTATAAATTTTAGGATCACCCCAGAAAATTTCCGGTCCGCCTTCGAAAATAATTACCCATATAGTTTTTATTAATTTAATTTAATATAATGTATAACTTAATATCTAACCACAGACAAATGTTTAATATGGGTAATTATTTTTGAAGGCATCAAAAATGCTAGATATGATTTTTTCAAACCCAACTTTTAAACAATACATATAT